TAACTACATCAGTACAATGTACATTCTGTGAATTTCGAAAAAAATTACGAGTCCAACATCGCCAACAACGGAAAGCGGGTGCATAGATCCGATGATCCCGCAACAAGTCTGTCAGCTGTTCAAACTGACCAGACGAATACAAACAAGACAGAGGCGAAGCACTGGTTGCAACCCAAGAGCTGATGGTATCTTTCGCCTGTGACTTCGCTGACTTCGGCAATGAAGTCAGAGAAGCCGGCCAGGGGTGCAGATCGGTGGATTTTGACAGATGAGCTGACTTGAGGCGCGCCAACAAGTAACTAGTTGCTTTTCCTGTCTATGCTCAAAATAGGCCTAGACGCCAGGCCTAGCTTGTCGTCGAGCAAACTGATTCGGGAACTGTCGACAGAACGGAAAACACGAAACTGAAGACCACTTTACTGTCTTTAGCTCAAGACTACTCGCACGTCGAGGGAAATCCAGCCCCTGCAGATAGTGTTGACACATACTTAGGCTGCCAGTCCTGCATGCTGTATGTAAAAAAAAGTAGTCAGCTGAAAAGACGGCGGCGGTGATCGCGTCGATGTTTCTCAGATCGCGCTTGTACTTTTACACATACATCGATATTGCAAGACAGTTAGTGCAGTCGACAGCGCACTCATGCACTCCGAGTGCCATTGTCGACTTGCGTCGACGAGTAAACATGCAGTCCCCAGTGCGCGACAGGCAGACCTCACCCAGTTTGGGCCTCTATTTTTTCGACTATTGGAGATGTTTAGCCGTGGTAAACGGCCACTGGGCCCTGGAAGATGTCCATACCCATCGAAATACGCTGCCAGAACTTGAGAAGTATGGGTTGCAATTTTTAAAAAATCGAACCAGCGTCGTTGAAAATGCGCATCAGATTTTTTGCCCAGCGGCGAGGAAGAAATCGGTTCTCACGCATTTCCACCTCCCAGAGTCGGTGCGAGTATTTTCCCCTTTCCCGTCAACTTTCATTGCACGGAGCATGGAATTTGGTTCAGACTTGATGCCTAGCTATTACCCAAGACTCCAGGCAGCTATCCGGTGCGCGTATCCGTTGCGATAGGCGGCTGGAGTCACGGGTAGAAACAATCAAACGATGAATTCCTCACGGACGCATTCAATGCAAACTTGACGGAAACAGCGCTGGCGGCACTCACTGGGTCCAGAACTAAATTTTTCTAAGAACTACCACGTTACCATGGTGACCAGCACAGTCAAGAGACACTACAGGTATGTCAGCTACAACATAATTATATTCTTTCTACAACGACACCTACCTCTTGCTCAATACCTGACGATCTACTGCAAGCTGATGCGAAAGTGCATTACACCCGAGAACGCCGCGCTTGTCAACGGAACAGGGAAGGGCTTCACTCTCCAAAGTTGAAAAGTATTTGGACTGCTGCTAATCGGGAGAACAAACGACCACCACGGCGGCAGAACATTTCGCAGCTGTTCACCGACACGATCCGCTTCACCAAACGACTTACGAACGTTTCGTTTCCGAGTTTTCTGGTGGCAGCAACAAGACTTTCGTCCGCAACGACAGGACGGAAATCTCTCGCAACTGAAGTCCTGTTGCGAAGACAGAGAAGATTCCGCAAGCCATCTCTTCTGCTTCCAGTATTGTAGCTCTCCTGTCCATTGGCATATCTTTCAATCCCAACGAACGAAAAAAAGGATCTGCTTCTCTCTCCAAAACAACGAACAACTAACTAACTTTACTTCGCGAGTGTCCGGGCCGATCGTGTACATAGTGTATGCAGCGCATGCGGCGCATTTTGCATGACATGACACGCATTTTTGCGCAGCGGCTGGAGCTAGAGGGCAGCACGTTTGTACGGATTTGGCGATTTCTTCGACGGCAATGGCTTCCTTTATGAATTGACTACCGTATTTTACCGGTTGCAAGTCGACCCCGGTTATAGGTCGACCCCTGTATCCGGAGGTCTCAATTCTGCGTTTTAAAGTTTTCACCCAAAGAAGCCCTACTAACCCCTCCCTGCTATTAACACATCAACAAATCATGTAAACATTCCTTGTTGGAGGTTATAACATCCCAATCCTTCAAAAGACCAATAAACTGGAAAAATGTGTACACATAGTGCACTCGTGCATGCAGTTCAGGTCATTTTTTGTAAGATGCTGATAGTTCCCGGTTACAAGTCGAATTCCGGTTGTAAGTCGACCCCCACCCTTTCTCCTTCTATTTTAAGTCGTAAAAGGTCGACTTACAACCGGAAAAATACGGTACCTATGATGTATACTTTGGAAAGCGATAGTTCGTACAGAAAGTACCGAAAATTCCAGGAAAAGTTGGACTTTCGATTTTTGGTAAAAGTGCCTGTACAGCTAAGCTGACAGCCTGGCAGGGAGCGCCTTGTCACCTTGAGTGGTCAACTGGCAGTGAAAGGGTTAATCAATTCTCCAGAGCACAGCATATAGGAAATGTGCTAGTCGTATTCAATTCCGCCCAACCATTACCTAGGGATAA